TTGTTTTATTAGGGGCTCATACAACTCTTATCACAATCCATACATACATCAATTGTGTAAAGCACATTTGTACATTCATTGCCCTCATCATTCTTAAAACATTTGCTCTCCATTAAGCCCCTGGCATCAAGTCCTCATTTTTTCCTCTCCCCACAACAAAATTAACGAGAAGAGTGATATTGTTTTACCTTTCTATAAATCTCTGTAATGGAAGGGTCACAGGGAGGAGACGAGCCAGTCAGGGTGCCTGTAGCAACGATGAAACATACAACTTTCCTCTAGTTGTTAAATGCTTCCTCCCCACAACTGTCATGATCCCAATTCTACCTTACAAATCTGGCTAGACCAGAGGATGTACATTGGTAAAGAGAGGAGCTGGAAACACAGGGAATCCAGGACAGATGATCCCGTCAGGACCATTGATGAGAGTGTCGATACCAGAGGGTGGAGGGAAGGTGGGGTAGGAGGGGGAACCGATCACAGTGATCTACATATAACCTCCTCCATGGGGGACAGGCAGCAGCAAAGTGGGTGAAGGGAGACGTCAGACAGTGTAAGACATGACAAAATAACAAAAATTTATAAATTATCAAGGGCTCATGAGGGAAGGGGGCAGGTAGGGAGGGGGAACAATGAGGAGCTGATACCAAAGGCTTAAGTGGAAAGCAAATGTTTTGAGAATGAGTATGGCAACAAATGTACAAATGTGCTTGACACAATGGATGTATGCATGGATTGTGATATGAGTTGTACGAGCCCCCAATAAAATGATATAAAAAACCCTAGTGTTCAACTTAATAGAGGTCGTGGGACTCTCTTAAGTGCTTCCACATTTCGTCTGTGTGCTTTATTGCTTTGAAGTACATGAAGAGACTGCCTGGCTTCATCCAAAGGAAGAGCCTAGGGCACCAAATTGTCTTTGCACCTAGTTGAAAACCGTTGCTGTGTGATGTTTCTATACTTTTTGCTCTATGAATATATATTCACAGGATCATAAGTATTTAAAACAGGCCATCATGCTCCTGTTTTTCAAAATCTTTGAACATTATAATATTCCTTCAGCTATAGTCTCTTCTAGTTTTTGGTCCATTCGTAGTGGCTTCAGTGTTATTTATGGTGCCTTGATCTTTGATACCAAGATACTTCTCTTAATCTCTGTTAATTTATTGACATTTGTCCTAGGTTTCATCACCATTTTCTTAAGTTTGTTTTATGGATTATAAGAAGAGCATGTTATTTTTATTTGGTAAGAGCCCTGGTGGTGTAGTTGTTAAAGTGGTGATTACCATGGCCGGCAGTTCAAAACCACCAGCAGCTGTGAAAGAGAAAGACTCCCGTCAACAGTTGCAGTCTCAGAAACCCACCGGGAGTCCATATGAGTCATCATTGTTCAATGACAGCGGGTTTGTTTACTTTTTATTGTTTTGTCATCTTCAACACTGTCACTTATGTTTTATAGATTGCATTTGTTCAATAGAACTTGAAATAATTGCCAAACTATAATGCAGATTGATTAGCATCACTCAAAATGAGAAAGTCGGATATAGTGAGTTAGTGCCCATAGGCTTGAAGTGTTCAATAAAGGTCACTTGATTGACTGCTCTGCTGTTAAAAAAATATTTTATCATTGTTACTCAGTATTCTGATGGATTTATATACAGGTTTCCCCTGCTTTTTGGAAGTTTACTTTACACACGTTAAAGATCTCCTGTTTTTGCTAACTGAAAGAAATCTGAAGATGTTAGTTTTTACCAAAAATAAGTCGACAAGTGAAACTAGTGTTCAGCATTTGTTTTGCAGTGAGTTGTTCAAGAGCACCGTGCAGCGTAAGTGACCCCTCTCCTTCCCTAGGATAGGAACTGCACTCAGCATCCAGTCACCAGTTTTGAATTGTGTCTGTGAATACTTTACGAGGCTTCAAAAAGTTTGTGGAAAATTTCATGACCGACTTTTCTTTTTAGTGTGAAAACCTTGTCTTTGCTTTTTGTAACACTGATGCCATACAGTATTTTTTTTGTGAATAATTGCACTCAGACTAATGTCTTCCAATGGAGCCCTGGTGGTATAATCTTACATGTTGGGCTGCTAACTGTAAGGTCATCCATTTGAAACCACCAGCTGCCTCAAGGGAGAAGGGTGAGACTGTTTACTCCTGTAAAGATAAAAATTTTAGAACTCCGAAGGAGGCAGTTCCACTCTGTCCTAAAGGGCCGCCATGACTGAATTGACATTTGGCAGTGCGTTGGTTTCCCCTCCTTTATGTTTCCTGCTCTGTGCTGTAAGGGTCACTATGC